CAGCAGTCGTGCAAGCCACCATCCACTACAAGTCACGCGGCTAACTTTCGCCTCTGATTCGGTCATCACTACAACACATACTGCCTGTTTCCTCTGTTATAACTTCATTATGATCTGCAAGTTACCATATCGTCTGATGAGGCGAATTTGAATTTCTTCAGAGAAGGGAGATATGACGCGAACGAAAAACGAAAAACCAACTTTCCCTTAAGCAGTCTATGGTTTAAGAATGGCTCTATAATTTTTTTCTTTTTAATAACTCATGATTTGAATTTTTCAAAGGAGCGAATCAACGAACGAATCCCTCAAACATATGAGCACATTCTTTTTTTTTTGGGGGAGGTTCCAGAGGACAATACAGACTATATGGGTGTGACGTTTCCCTGTCGACCCTGACTCTGACCTCGCCCACAGGCTTCATCGAAAACTGGTTCAGTACCACTCTGTCACATCGGTCATAGCAGATCTTAATGATTAATTATGGATATCGTTGCGGAGCGTTGAGGTAGATTTAATGAAGATTATGCTGATTATGGCTAAATTGTTTGTTGAATATTGCTCTACAGTAATTAAGGTATGCACCAGGTGACGATTTCCATTTACACTTTAATTAGAAGCAGTATTAAATGATTCGCAGTTTGTCCCTTTTAGAACCTATAATCCCTTTGCCGATCTGCTAAAATAACACACTTTTAACGCGAATCCTTTCATAATAATGTAATAAAAATTATAGGTGAAATATCTGAATCTTTGTCATAGTCAATAGTCAAAACTGTTGGCTTTATACATCACTCGCTTTTGAATAGACGGACTTCTGCAATTGCCATGTCCTAGTAAAATTGGGCATCAAATATTGTGGAAAAGAAGAATAATACGTCCGGAAGTAAGAAGAAGAAAGAAGAAGAAAGCGTTCTGAATAAGCTCAATTCTAGGTTTCTGATTTCGGTTTAACAGTCACACATTCTGAACAGTGATTATTTGTCGCTTATACAGATATCCCGGTTACAAGGTCTTCGTCACACTAACGTCAGAAAACGAATATTTTGTTTTATACCACAGTAAAACAATTTTTCGTTGCTTTTTGCGAATTGATCGTATGTTATTTGGTTGCCGCGTTCTCTTTAAACTAGTAGCTAAAACTAAGTATAGAATATGTGCGTTACATTATAAATTAATACAGACTATTCTGATGCAGAAAACAATGATGTATAAGCTATAGGGCAGAAAACACTCTCCCATACACTTCATATAAATTCTTCTGGAGGTCGTAAATATTATTTCTTTTGGTTACCTTTTTCCGTAGTATTTTTCACTGTGTAAGCTACCAGTATATCAGTGGCCGATACGAAGTGGCATTTACAATAGTGGCTCCTATATTTTGGATTAAAACTATCATTTTGCTACTAAGAAGTGTGTTAATTTACTCTGATTGTTCTTAATTGGTCTTTAGTGTTATAAATCCAATATATAAAGAGAAAAGTATAAATACCCATTTATTTCTTTCAGGCTAAGATGCATTATATGCGTATACACTATAATCTGTGAAAATATAAGTACTGTTTAATGAAATTTAAAAAAAAAATTCAAGATCAAATCAACATAAAACATTTATTTACTTATTATTTAAACAATATTAAAGAAAATAAATAATAACGCGAAGAGTTTTACAAAAAAAATAGACGAAAAACAAACGATCATATCGTATGACCAATATTACGTCGTTCCGCTCGCATGTACAGCGTCGTCAAACATTACTCCTTCCTTCCCAAATCCTTTCAACTCCTCAAGACATGCACTCCCTGTTCGACAATTAAAACTACTAGTCCTCACTCCTGACTGCAACAGTCTAACAGTTCATAAAATTTTCGTCGCCCACCCTACTATACACACACATTGAAGCTCTGTAAGGGACAATCATTCTAAGGCTGGTTTATTTTTGATATTTTTGCGATGTTCTATCTGTCACAATGGTATCTGTTCACATCATTTTGTGATACAGGTGGACCGGCAATACGAACATTAGCGTCTTTGAATATCTTGACTCGTTATTACGTACAAAGAGAGATAGTTGAGTCAGTGTTCTACCAATACTTATGTATAAAACTTTATTTCATAGGACCTGAAAATATATAAAGGGAAGGTGAGCAAAATTAAAATTATTGTAAAATGTGAAAGCACTTGTAATCTCGTAAGAAACTAAAATGCCCTTGACTTTCTAAATTTGTCCTTTATTTTTAAAACGATAACCTAAAATGAATATGTAGTGTATATACTATTGATAACGTATTAGCCAGGCTGCCTCATGGCATCTATTTTGGGGACGCTTTGGTTGCGGATTAGTCTCCGCCACAGGAAGTAGGGTTTTTCCGTAAAGGAAGAACCGGAGACGGAGACACCAGAGGCTTTGGGTATTCTCCGGCTTATAGAAGCTTTTCACTGTTATAACCAAGCGAGGGGGGTTGGCGGTTGACGTAGGAGGTCCACGTGAGCCTCGCCTCATATAACAGAGTGTACGGAGCAGTAGGCAGGTTCTGGAGACGTGGGAGAACCTCGTGCGTGTGCACAAAACTTGGCGCCTAGACTGTGCATATTTGCGAGCCAGGCTCGCGAGGCTGGAGTCATTAGTGACGAAAGCCTGCGGACTTTATGTCCTTGGGCTGACTGCGGTCACGGGGAGCGATGCTGTGTTGCTATGCGTCCGACGGTGAAAGAGTGGTGAGTGCCACGATTCACGCCGATCTCAATCGGATTAAGATCTGCTCCTGCATCGCAGGCAAACCAAGCCGTTGGGGCGCCAGAACGACTTTGTGTCCCAGCGGACATGACCGGTCACGGAAGCTAGGCTTTGTTGCGCAGCTTCAAAAGAGGAGGGCGAATGACCACATCCAAAACCATGCTTCAATCGGGTTGGATCGCTCCGCCGATCAGGGATAGTACGTCTTCCAGAAGCTAGGGTTTAAGTAGATATTAAAGTGTATATATTTGTATGTTTCTTGGTAATTTAAATATATTTGTTATACGAAAGCTCTGTGTCTGTGGTCGCTGTGAGTATCCATGACGTCACACTATACAGAAGATATTTGAGTAATTTGATACTAAGAGAGATTTCAAGAAATAAAATATTTAATGATACAGTAATATTTGTATTAAGTTTGTTCAGCCTCTAGCCACTGTAGGAGGAAGTTAATAAATAAGTGAAAATGTTGATACTATAAATGCTGGAAGAGGCGTGATAGAAAGAAAAAATGTGGAAAACCTTGACAAAACCTTTTGCGAACTGCCTTTGTTCATCATAACATGAATAATCATTCCTTGTACCCGCTACTACAAGCAACTAAAAGTGTTTTGTGGCAAAGTAAGATCATCTAAAATAGAGAAGAGGACTGGGTACATAAGGGTATTTGGAATGTAGTTACGGCTGCCGTGGCTCAGTGGTAACATTCGTTACCTTTGCAGCGCCGTTGACCGGGCAGCCCTAAGGTTCGTACTCGACGGTGACGCCACTTGCTCTTACACACCTCGGTCGAACTCAACCGCTCTCTGCTAGAGGTTGCTTTGATCCGTAGAGTCCCGTGTTTTTTACGATTAACAACACACGAATGCCTACCGCAGCAGTACGTTAACAAACAAACCATGGACCGCATGCGATCTTTCCTTCCTCACCCTCGTTCCCTTCCTCGCTCCCTTAAACCCACACTTCTACAACAATTGTCAGGAGACCCACTTGTCAGGGGAGCTTTGAGCTCGTCCGGGATGGCGCTCTGCCCCGCAGAGGGAGATGACTGGAGTGGGAAAACTCCAAAAGAACGACACCGTGTAGGTCGTGTCATCTTCCAATGACGGACAACCAGCGCCACCTTTCGGGATATAACTGACTACTCCGATTGATATGTAAAATCTACATCTAAAATTAAACGAGTAATGTGAAGGAAAGAATAATGGTTTCCAACCTTTCCTTTTTCGATTTGGCAATGTCATTATGTAGTACATGAGCGCCAGTTTATCGTGTTTGGTTTCTTTGTAATTGCGAATAAAATTTCAGTTTCGGTAATGAACCGACGATTGAGAGTTTCATTGCGCATTTCCGCAATGAGTTGATAGTGCAATGGAGTCGGTAAATGGGAGCCGAATTCACAAGTTGATGACAACTTTTTCAAATTTGAAGCATACTCAGCCAACGTCTGTCCTTCGTCCTGACGTCGACTATAGAAGTTTGTCGCTCTGTCATTTGAAGAACAGGAGGCTAGAAGTGCGCAGACAGTATTGGAAACGTCACATCTAATGTCCTCGTAATTGAATCTTCATGTACTAGCAGATTGGTTAATAATTGGAATTATGCATTGTTAATGATAATAATGTATTTATTAAAGCATTGCACAATTAGAACGTTCTTGTACACAGATAATCGGCAGACATCAGGGTCGAATGCAGCCACATTGCCTATAATGCTTGCAGATGTGCAATCTTTCTAATTTGAATGTTTTTTTATGTCTTAGCAGATTTCGTTTTAGACACGGTCCTACCGACTCTAAAATGTGAATTTGACACAGACTATTCGCAGTTGAATCTTAAAACTGTGGAACTCAGACAACAATATTTATTCAGAAACAAAGAATAATGCAATTTAGCAACGAGATTACAAAGAAACAAAACACGAGCAACGCCCTCGTATAATACATAAATACATATTGCCGAATCAAAATACTAAATTTTGAAACCCATTGTTTTTCCCTTTTAAATGCTCTCTTATATTTAGAAGAAGATTTTACATATAAATAAATAAACAAATAAACAAATAAATAAATAAACAAATAAATAAATAAACAAATAAATAAACAAATAAATAAATAATTAAATGCGACAAATGTTTACTTGAACAAAGACGTCCTCCGGTTGGCGCGGGCGCGCGCGCGGGCGGGGCAGCGGGGAGTGGGGCGCGGGCGGGGGCGACGCGGTACGGCGCGGTGCGGCGGTGCCGGTGGAAGTGGAAGGGGCGGTGGCGGCGGTGTGTGGCCGTGGCCGGCGGCGCGGCTGACTGTTCGTCGGAGGGAAAGCTCAACCTTGGGCTCAGTGCTCACGCGGACGCGTCCCGAGCTGCGCCTGGGCCATGTAGCAGCCGCCGCCTCTGGATTCGCTGGCTCTCCGACGGCGGTGCTCTGCCTTGCGTTCAAGTCTACTCTAGTCTGAAGCTGATTCTAGTCTGATAAAGGTAAGGAAGTTTGTTTTCCTTTTAATTTTTCTAATACTTACAGCGGAACGTTTATTCATTACGTAAAATTTACAAATAGTATCTAATTTAGGAATGGCATTGCTAGGGGGTCAAAGAATACGGCTGGGTCAAATACGTTCTTTTCACCGTGTTCTTTTTCCAGTTGTACCAGTCTGCTTAAGCATTAGGTCGTGAGTTTTAATCAAACTACTTTGACTATAACTACTGCCATGAAGTTCCTGAGACTATAAGGACGTTTTATGGTTTCTCCATTTTACGACACTATTAAGAAGTTTTATAGTTTCTCCTCCCGAATAATGTATGGCGCCCAATCTTTTAGAATTTGAATAATTTGAGTACTAACTTCCAGAATTGATTACATCTATCTTCAAGTATTGAAAACATATTGACCATTAAACATCTACCAATAATACGTTTAATAGATCAATAGTTAAATAAAATAATGCAACAATGAACAAAATCAAGTACCTTTTTTTAACAATTCATTTCGTACATTTCATTTTTCTGCGATAGCCTTTACGGCTAAACTTGTAGATAGTAACGGCAGCGGAGTTTGCCTTTACGGTTTGACTCACAGATAGTCCTGCTGGACTATCTATGGTTGTCTATCTGTACACCGCTCGATCCACTACCACCATTACCACACATGTCGAGAGGCCACACGGGAGTTTGTCTCGTATTGGTCGGAACTTTTCTGGAAAAGGTGGGTAAAACCGCAAAAGTAGAGGTGGGTAAAACCGCAAGTTGATGTGTACATCAGCGCCGCATCTCACGTTACAGTGGGAGAGGAACACGGCCGCATATCCGCACAACGTTCACTACACTTACAGGACCAATGAGGTCAGTAATTGACGCCCCCGGAATCAATACTCAATCTCTCAGTCAATAAATACCTAGTCGCACAGGTGCACAGTAGGCAACTCTGTGCTAAATAGTGTTCACTTCTGTGTTAACACTTCCTGCTTGATGCTTAGTATTGTTTCCTTACCTTGGATGACTTTTTCTTGAGTTTCCCGAGACATATTACACAGTTTTACTTCTGATTAATCTTCCGTTCATCCAAGTTACTGGAAATGTTATGTTGCGAGATAATTGTGCGTAGCTTGCACTACGCAAATAGAGGGGTTGCTGAGAAATAGAAAGAAAGAAAAAATATCACGTGAACTTTTAGCAAAAAGATACAAATAAGTTCAGACGATGTTACGCTAATTTTCAAAACAATACTTTGCGCTTTGAATAAGGTAAAATGTGTAAGCGTGTCACCAAGCGTACACAAAGGTATTTCATTGGATGCCGAAGCACACAAAATAAGTTCTAAACAATATTGATTTATCAAAATAATCACAAAAAGATGATTTTGGTTCTTTCGACCACCAAACACATTTTTTTAGTTATGAATTCCCGGTATCGAAATACGAAGGATCTACCATTTTTGGCGGAAATTATAGTTTGACATATGGGAATTCTGCATATTCAGTTCCACGTGTTACAACCATTTTCAAACCAGATTAGTAAAAATCATCTTTTGAATAAAAAGATGATTTTCCACATCATTATTATATACCTTCAGGCACAAGTGTATTCTTCTAAAAATTCCTCATTACCTGATCTAATTATTCTGATTCAGCGATTTATTTTGGAGAATGTATCGTTAAAAAATGTTCAATTGCAAATATTTATAATTAATATCTACTACTCTTTTTCATAATAACTTTTTAAACTACATATTCGTTATATTACCATTTTAAAAGTTGGTAAATAAACATCATATCGCTGGCAACTCGCCTCAAAGTTATTTTAAATATTTAAATCTTCTGAAAGAGAGTGTTAAAATAAACAGGCAGTACATAAAAGCTTTAAACAATTTGTTAATATAAGTGGTGTACACGGTGTTCCATGCATTCACATACTTTACAAAGGGGACGCAACTTCTTAAAGGGAAGCAAATCCGTAGCATCTTGGAGGCAATTGACCAATGGCGGAGGTGGCTGCTGTTAGAGCAGGTCCGCAGGAAAACAAACCCAGGCGCCGCGGAGGGCCCGCGCCAAAGGTCATCGACAACCGGCGCCCGCGACGCCCCGCGACGCCCCGCACTCTTCTGGAAGGAGCAACTTGTTGAGGCGGTGCGAGGAGGCAGGGGGCGTGTGCAATTGGATCTCGCCGCACTTGATGGCTTGGCGACTGCCAGCGGAGCGAGCGGCGGGAACGGGGCCGGGCGGAAAGGGGCGGGGCCGGTGAGCGAGGCGGGATCGGAGACGATCTAGTGAATGGGGGTGAAGAGATGCAATCAAAAAAAGAAATCTACACTGAAAACACCAAAATGAATGCACGCGAACATATTGCAATCAACAGAAAACGGAGTGTGCGACAAAATTCAAAGCTTTAATTTCTCATTAACTCCTCACGTTTTGCTAATATTAAAATCCCTTATATTTTCTTCCTTTGTTCCACAAATAATACTGTAAGTTTTATCAAATAGTAGCCTTCATAAGCTGCAATACGATATGTAACGGTTTGCAATATTTTGTCGCATTAGCTAATAAAATGTCTCAATTTACTTTCTCATTATAATTAAATGGCAACATTTTAATATTTTTTAAAGAATCTAAAAAAAGTTTGTTGTTTAATAGTAGACTTGTAGCATCTTCAAAAAATCTTATAACAACCAGAATGAGCTACTTGTTACAACATTCCATTGTTTTGCTTTTAATCACGTGTAAAATCCATATCTTTCATTTCGTATTCTTGGACGAACACGCTGCTACAGGTTTTGACGACGCCATCGCTGTACGAAAATAGGGCGCCTGCTGATGGTTCGAAGCAAAGTACCGCGACCCGTTCTTCAAGTGCCTGCAGGCAAACCGTGACGTCACTGGTGTCGCCTCCCAGGAAGCGTGAATGACGCGCGTAGCGAGCCGATAAACCGGTTGCGGGGCCGCGTGCTGCCTGACGGGCGCCAGGGCTGCCAACCGGCGCGACGCGGGCGGCGGGCGTACGTGCGACCTTGCATCGCGGGCCAGGGGGCGTGGCTTCGCAAAGGACACTTTCCTTCGTCGTCAGGGGTCCGGACAAGCTTAAAACTAGGTTTCAACTTAAAGGCTGTTTATAAAAACCATAACAATAACAACAACAACAATAATAATAATAATTAATAATAATAAACTCTGCAGAACCCAAGAACAAAAAATGAGGGATGCTGTACTTAGGTCTGTGGATTCTCTCGTGCAGAAGGTGGTGTGCGCTGATAATGGATACACAGCACATAATTTAAGCAACCACGACTCGGATATTAGATTACCAACTCTAAAGGGGAAATACAAAACTGGCAACAAATAATGCTTCATTATAAATTTACGAACTCTCTGTTAGACTCTATGATTGACAAATCTGCATCCTTAAAGTGTTGAGCAATGGTTACTTCTACCCGGAAACTGAATGTTTTGTAGTAGTAATTCAGGATAAACTAAAAAGAACTAAAAACTATGAAAAACATTTTAAAAAAATGTAATGTCGACAAATATAGAAGATGAAGTGAGAACGGAGAGGCTATTGAGTACATTATGGCTGGGTGCTATACTTAGTCAGAGAGTGCCTTAAATAAGCAGACAAAATCAAGTGGCAAAATGCATTCACCGAGAACTAGGAATGAAACTTCGAATGTTGTGGAGTAATGCACCAGCATGCTACAAGTATGAACCAGCATGCTGTACTCGAAACGAAGACACACGCCTTATGCTGGGATCGGCCTATTATGACGGATAATACAGTTGATCATAAACGGCCTGACATCCTCATAATAGACAAATAATGTACACATCTATTCAAGGAGTCGTCATCAGGAACTTTAAAAGAAATCTGGAGAATTTAGATATAAAAATATCTTTTACGAAGCCCAGAAAGCCACCCTCCTTCAATCATGTCATATTGATAATAATAATAATAAAAATAATAATAATACTTTATCACATGAAGTGATTTGGGGAATTTTTTGAATACTGGATTCACTGTCCTTCGGCTACCGTAACAGGAGACTTTTGTTTATGCATTCAATTTAATTGTGTATCGTCAGGAAACAGTAAACAACTTCGCGTATCAAACTGTATGGGAGAATTCAATCTGTGCACATTTTATTCAGCTTTGGAATCCCTACCCTGGCTCATATACTAATCCTAGCTCACTACTCTACATATACTAGCTCATATACGAGGGTTGCCTTTTATATTTCAGCATATGAAGCATTTCGCATGTAAAGCATGCATATGAAGTTTTTCGAAAACTCAAAAATTTTCTGTGGAAAAGTGCATCAAAATTCGAATTTACTGTAGCGCTTACGCGCCATTTTATAACAAACCATTCCAAATGTTTCAAAGAAAAATTGTTTTAAAAAAACACTTTTCTAAAATCTCAAAAATGTGGGCAAAATACACATGTTAATTACTTAAGTTTAAAGAACACATTTGCAATTTAAATAAAATTCATTGAGTGAAAATCCAGCGTTGCCAGGGCGTTTATCTAACTCAATCATCTATTAAACAGGCTCGATCATGTCGACTAGTATATTCGACCGCACTGCTCAGGGCGCATTATACGAGGCATGTGTACTATATTGCGGGTAGCATGATTTGGTTTGTAATTGTCACTTCTTTTACACCACCCTCTCTACGGAAGTCTTACCCCCAGCATATTTTTCTTTCTATTATAATTCCGCAATAATAATGTTTACAATGTTTTGTTGAAATTACATTGTTCTCGTGTTGAAGAGTTAGGTAAAACACGAACGCACATATCCATCAATCCCTATATCCATCAATTTTCTTTAAAAATATATTTTTTCGACAATGGACACATTTATAAGGCAATGCTTACACTGGTAATGAAATAAATAATAGTATTACAAGTAATAATTATTACATTTATTATATGTTGATTCTAATCGCACAAAAGTGAATTTTTACACACAGTTTTGGGAATAGAAAAAATCACGTTTTTTCGAAAATCTATATCTCGCTTGGTAATTGGTTTCGAAATAAATGTTTTATACAAAAATTGTAAGACATTCTATTTTCTTTAACATTCATTTGAATTGTTTTTCTGTGGAACTTAAGGGTACAGTGCCATAAAGTTATTTAGCACCTCCCAACTGGACTTTTAACACCATGCTCATTTGTGTATTGATGCTGAAGCAAAATAATATTGGAAAATTTTTAGATGCATAATTGGAAGTTGGAAGCAATTGACACGGATCACCATGATGAGCCAAATAAAAATTTAAGTGAAGATCAGATTGTATAATTGATTCTAAATATACAAGTGTCAGAGGGAGAGAGATGATAGTAATGACAAAAAGATAGCAATAGAAATGTGTAAGAATGGACAATATACGAAACATTAAGTGAGAGAGAATACAGTTTGTAACATCTCCACGTAATGCATAGAACACATGATTTAAAATTAAATTAGGATTTGTTTGTTGAAACATAGTAAACGTCGTTCGTAGAGAGGGTATTGTCTGCAACATTAAATAACATGTGTTATACAACATATTCTTCAATGAACGGAAATATTATCTCCACCTTACTAGTTCACTTTCTAATGTATTCTATTGCCTTCGTTTTGACATGATTGTCGCTTCTTCCATTTCCTGATTTCGAGGAAAATAATTATTCCAGCAGAATATGTTAACCTTTGTAGCATGACTTCAAAACGTGTGATATTTCAAAGTTAATACGTTTTCGATCGGTTGCTTCTCATTTATCAACGTCTCATTAAACATTTCCTTCGTCATCAGTTCCAGCGGAGGCGTTTTCACCGTCGAAACTCCGTCAACACAACAGCCGGAGTTCGGGCCCATCCAACCTTTCACTGTCACCTCAATTCTGCTCGCTGCCGCCCCACCCCCCGGCTGAAGGCGGTCGTTAAAGGGACACTTGAGCCGTTACCGCTTTAAAGGCTCCTGGAATGTCTGCGATATATTGCTCACGCGATTTCTGAAGTTGGAACGGATTTCCATGCAAATATATTCAATAATATTTTTGCAAATATAAGATACCTGCATTCACTAATATTTTTTTAGGCTTTATAAAACATTTTCAATTTGAGCTATTTTCATCCAACATATTTTTAGATATTTTACTCAATAACAATATTAAGTAAAAATCATTGAAGTCATACCAAGAAAAGAGTTACTTCTTATTGATTGAAGAAAATTAGCTTATAGTGCAAAATGTATCTCTTTTCTATGCGTTTTTGCAAAATAATTCAACCAAAATTTTAAATAAATTCGGGAATTTTTCTGCTTTGAAAACATTGATCGCGGTAGTGAATTAAATTTCTTAAAAGAATCTTTCTCAAGAAATTTCCTGAACTTCGAAGGCAATTTGTTTTAAGCACTGTAAAAAAATAGACTTCGACTAAGTTCCACATCCATGTTTATCGCATTACCTAGGGTCTCAAACGGCGCGTGGACAATAATCTACTGTAACGGTTTTTTTTTGCACAAGGACCTTTGATATGTAGTAATAATTCACATTTTCGCACGATTCAAGGTTGAACATAACAATGAAAATGCGTTTCAGTCAACAGTGTTATGACTATGCGTAAATATTAAACGTGAAGCTACAGAAATACTTGAAAATTCCACAAATTTGCTTCAAGTAATAAATTTCACGTATCAGTGACAAATATCTGCAAATGCTTCGAGTATACACCTATATAAGAGAAGACCAATGGATCAAACATATACCGGGAGACCGGTCGGGAGCTTAAAGCTTGTCCCAGCTGGCGCGGTGCATCGCTGGTGGGAGATACCTGGTCGGGGAAACCCCGCTAGCCAACAGTAGCTCAGCACCGGATATCGCCATATAGCGGATGAAGACCTCCGCCAACTCCCAAGCAAAAACATGCACCACACTTACGAGACTAATGACCCGTGCCGTAAGTTACGTGATTGATTCGTTGTTAATGATTCCGGACGCGCCAAAAACCGTAAGTTACAAAAGATTCGTAATGGACAAAACCGAAAACTGTAATTGTTCGACCACGAATCGTTTTGGTGATCAATTCCTTCCTAGGAAATGTGTTCAGTAGTTTTAGTTGACGCGCCCGAAATCATTAACAATGAATTAATCAGCACCCCATCGGGATTGGAACTCTACGACCTCTGATGTAGAGACAGCCATAAAGATGTCTATGTGCAAACTGAGCCGGTCCAACGCCAGACGGCTCAGCTTATCCTTCGGAGGAGGTACATTCCCGCTTCTCGCATTCATGGGTCAGCGAACGGGGAGAGTGGGATTCAAATGAGGTGGAGGAGATGGAAACGGGTGCAGGGATGCAGTTGGAGAAAGCTGGCGTTATCCTCCTACCACCAATTTCGTCACCCATCGAAGCGCGAGCGCTACTCGAACTGTCTTTGAAAAACTGCATTCTGGGAACGTTGTCCTTGTAGCTCTTTTCCGGAACACATTTCTAAGGAAGGAATTGAATACCAAAACGATTTTTGGTCAAAAAAGTACAGTTTTCGGTTTTTTCCATTTCGAATCCTTTGTAACTTACGGTTTAAAAATTCCTGTCTAAATTATGTCATTTTTATTTTTTTCGCACTTGCTAACTTAAGAAGAGAAAGTATTGTCATCGTGAGCTAGAAAACAGTAAATTTTTGACTCTAAAACTCTTATTGCGGGGCCCTGGTAAGGAAAAAGTGGATTAATACAGTTTCTAAATATAGAAAAAAATCCTCTTCACGTGGTGTAGCCAGAATCAATGTTTTGTGCGTCCTTGATATCGAAAGTTGTATTGAAGCCAAAGTTGTCTGTCTATTCGTCTGTCTGTGCCCAATGCTAACGCTCAAACCGGTCAGCCGATTTTTTCTAAAACTGATATTCTCCAATCATTCTGGCTGATATCGCGGCCCTTGGCACTTGAAACTAATATTTTAGTTTGGGAGGGTACTTCACATAAAGTCTCTCGGACTTTTTCAACAATTTTCAAAAAATGGTTCCAAATTTTTTGATAGAATTTTGTTAGTGAATTGTGCGAATGACGTTTAAAAGTAAGCTGTAGGTATCATTTTCATTGAAATCTAAAAAAACTTGAAGGAATAAATGAATGCCTAAGTGAACCCTTAATTAATAAAATTTCAAAACATTTGACAGACACATCAATATGTACTTAAAAAATATAATATTAAACCTTGGCGAACATATGCATTTCAAGACTGCGGAAGTTCAACCAAAACTAATTTAAATATACTTCCAATAATAAAAAATAATTCTTCCATTGGACAAGAAATATATCTTGATTTTTCCGCAATGAGCAAATTAAAAAAATCCTTAGATTGAAAATAAAACAATAGATACCCACACTTTTTATCTAGTGCACGTTTATTTACAAACCAAAATTTGCAGCATAATTCTTCTGAAAAAAAGTCAGTAATTATTTCTCATTTTATTTGACAATTCAATTTTCTTCGGTACAATATGTCAGTATGTTAGGTTATGGCTTCGTATAAAACCCTAAAAGGCTTATAACGCAGAAAATGATTAAATACAAATTAAAAATAATTATATCCATGAATTCGATTACTTAAAGTATGATTGTTCAAAACTATGCTATAAATTAACTCATATTATTTTTAAGGTCAGATAAGTGATGACACATTTAATAGCTATAATTCTTCAAAACGAGCTTTAATACCACGCCCTCAGATGTTCGTGCAATTGTGTAATTACATTCTTGGTGCCTAAGAACAATGTCCTTTGTAGAAAATGTAAAAAAGCCACAATTCTCCCATGTATTCATCTTTTCCCAGATAATGAGAGAATAAACAAAGCGGCCAACATTTTTCTGCTTTCTTGAAGAACGTTTCCTTTCAACTCATAGTGCTTCTTTGTTTGCAGGTGCCATTTAAGATGACGGACGAAGGAAGCACGAGATTGCAATTCATCGCTGCCTTCTCAGGTAAGACCAATGAATCAAAAGTAAGAAAATCCGCACTATGAATAACAACGAACGGTATCACAACTAAAAAAAAGTATTAACACTAGAATTTTTAAAATTATTTTATGTAACATTAGTGAGTATTAGAAATTGTATTATTTCTGAGATTACTTTGTATTTTTTATCATAATCACTTAATCAGGCAAATTATAGAAACTTACTCATTCATAATATTGTATTAAGTTTGTATTTGTTCTATTCATATACGGCCTGACACGGCTCCTAATCAAGAGTTGCAAAATTACAAGAAAATAATATTAGTAACGGTATTTATAAGTACAATTAGTGATAATTATAACTTCTTACGCTTTCTTAGTGTTAAAGTCATCACACGCAACAAATAAGGTTTATTGTTTTCAATTAAAATTCACTATGAACTATTTTATTGTCATTTTATTGTCATTATTTTATGACTGAAATGTTGAACTACCTTCGGGGATTAGAGATCAAAATAAAACAATTCACTTGTATTTTGAAGAAACTGTTGTGTCATTTAGTCGTCATAAAACAGATGTCACAAATTCTTCCCGTCTCTGTAAAGTAAAAATTTTCTAGTACACATGCACGTCCCACCTTACCATGTCACATCAGTGTCGATTTCTCGTTTACGCAAATAAAGAGATTGCGACCTTTAATCCAGTTATTCTCTTTTGCTAATAGTGAGAATTATTTGACTTGTAAAATGCTCCAGCGTATATGTCGCGAAAGGTGGTCATAAGAATCGACAGATATAGCTGCAATTTGAGAGTGGAATCGCGGACCCGTAGAAAAAACAATTAGTTGAAGGTTGGAATATACGCAGTTCGAGTTCAGTTTTTCTCTTTAATTTTCTCTACTATTTAATTATTCTCACGACCAAACATTATGTATAAATTATACCCATATTTACCATAAACAAATAAATTGTGAAAATAGTTGTTCTCATTCAGAGATTTGTTTGGATTCCGAAAGTGTACATTATACTTCAAGAATATCCACTAAAACATTGCGTGATGTAATTTGCGTGGTTAAAAGCATCGAAAGACAGATATGTCAAACGAGAAGAATTTTAGAAAGGGTTTTTCAATGCCATGAGTGAGTTGTAGTTTACGGATGTTCTACGGAGACACGTGAAAGTGCATTAAAAACGATGGTGAATAAAAGAAGTAATACATTGAACATTACATTGTACAGTGAAAAGTGAAAATTTCCATTTGATATTATGTGCGACCAATCTGTCTTCACCCAAATTTCGATATAACATCAATCTGTTCAGTGTTTTGCTTCCGTGATACGTGCGAAAGCGTGCTGCGTGATTGTTCGAAGCTGTCTGGCGACAATGCGACACAATTCCCTGTAAATACAGGGCGTTCTGCAAGAGCCGTGTAACGCTTGGAGCTAAGAGCAAATGGGTGACAGGTCCAAGGTCGAGGCGCCCTTTGATCCGAATGAACACATCCTACTTAGGGCGGGCGCAGCCATGCCTCAGGGCCGGGTCCGGCCAATCGAGGGCGCCATTAGTCTGGATTGGCACCCCCGGAAGGAAGCCGACCGCCTCGCCAGCCGGCACGCGCCGCCGCCGCAGCCCCACTCGAGCTCTCGCACTACGCTTAAGTTCACCCAAGGTCTCGCAGACACTTAAAGAAGGTCACTGGACGCGAACTGTTTATCTGTGAACCTGTTCTTTCATACATTCAGTTCTAATTATGAGTCATTGTTTTTTCATTATCAGGGTATGTCAAGAAGGTAGTTGATAGATAAGTTGTAAAACTTGTTTGATGAATTTATAATATACTAAATTTTGTAGTAAATTTTTAGAGTATTTTTGTAAATAAATGTTTGTTCGTTAATTTTACGTAGAATCTTGACTTTCTCGATATCAGAAAAAAATATTGGTTCATAATTAGAAGTATTAGAAATTCAGACTGACAAAAATGTGACATTTTGTTGTGGTTCGTATTTATTTCAAGTAATTCCCTATTTATTATAGAAGCACTTCTCTATACTTCACTTCAGGTAGAAAAGGGAACGAAGAAGTCAATAAAGAACTTGTTGTTGCTACTTCACACCTGAAACGAGAGGTTTTTCTAGTAATTTATTTCCAAAAGTGTGATGATGAAGTTACCAAAATTGTATTTTTTAAAGTTTTAAACTTTAAGGGGTAGTCATATCAGAAATATATAAATGTCATTCATTAACCACAAACTGTGATTTTCACTTTACCTTCAATTCAAATGCGTCGTAAAGTGTCTAAGGCTGAACAATTTGGGGTGTGGGTGCGTACGGTGCTTAGTTAACCTTGATTATTATCTCATTTATTCATTCATTAATATAATCTCATTATTCTGCATGTTCTCAGTTAGGTAGAGTAAAGAAAAAATACAATTGTCTACTATATTGTTATGAGTGTATCACGAAGTAAACGTCGATAAAACTTCCTACTAAAGTAGATAGAGCTTAATTACTCATTGTAGTTATGCTTCGTAGCGAATGCACAATGACAACAGCTGCAGCCCATTCATTAATATATTTTAACAATGTATTACTAGAAGCGACGAAATATGTTTAAAAATGCATATTCGTTATTTGCTTAGAAAATAGAATAAAATTATTATGCGGCTGTATTTAGCAAAATATGTCAGTGAACTATGCATCTACCAAATATTGGCCTGTGCCTATGTGAAGCCAGAAATGAGCGTAAAACCATAAAAATGAACGTAAAAGCAAAAAAATAGTTGTAGAATACTCATACCAACCTGTGATGTGTTTTAGGGCATTAATTCAAATTTCAAAAAGATCATGACCCTACTTATTCCAACCTCCAACACAGATTCTAGCTCTTCTCCAACCATATGAGAACCATGATTTCGTTTCTCCCACGAACTGGGAGAAAATCTAAAAACATCCAAACAGTTTCGACAAAAATGCAAATATTTGATTGTGCACCACCTATTCTTTTACTGCGCATCCTGACTAATTCGTATTGCTACTGCATCGCTTTTTCACAAAACAGCCGTCGTGCAACAGCGAGGCTCCAACGTACAGACTACACGCCGTTAATACATGTTATTTACAAGTTGCGTTATGGAACATCTATGTTTGTGGTATTCTTCCTTTTTATAGAATGGTTATACCATCTAAACATATTAAACCATTTTATTACTGATTTGTAAATACTTTGTTTTGGTTAGTAGTTGTTCATGTAGGCATTCATGTATTCATTCAAGGGCGTTATAAGGGTTCTAATGATCTCAGGCTACTAAAGTCGGCATTTTGTTGCCGTTTGATCATTAGAACCAATTAACGCCCGTGGTACATACATAATTTAATTTTTATCTAATTTTATTGATTCAAATTTATTTACTAATTAACTAGATATTTCAACTGTTTTCATATTTCCTATGTAACTACGATACTTTCGATCCAGGTAAGTGAGTGTGCAGTGTATATCGAGCACCGTATCGAAGAGTAAAATGTATCAGTAAAAAATAAAATATTTAATTTATTGCAATTTTACGATGATGATGTATGTGTTGTCCTTAAGTAGTACGCATGCTATCGTTTGAAAACCATTTTTTGATGGTTTTGTTCATCATCATTTTATTTGCTGCGAGAAACTTGTTTCAAACATTAAAGTATATGAACAAATGTGGCAAAAACTGAATCATTGAATATGGCAATATTCAGTAAAAAGCTAAAGGATTTTAATAACAAATATTCAAGTTAATAAACAAAATTTCAAAAAATGAAATACAAAATTTAATAGATTCAAGGTCAAAGAACTTGGAACTGTAAGACAAGGGATTTGCTTTTAAATTCATGATTTTACTAATTATTTTTGTTTTTCTTTATATGATGAAATACTTTCTTTGTATTGGTGTATACTTCAAAATGTTTGACTTCGAAAGTTTTAGTAGTTTTAGAAATATAATATTAATAATCTGCATATTTTCACTCTTTAACGACTTTTTGCATTTTCGTCCATTTCTCTCCAAGAGAGAGAGATACTGTAAATTCATATGTTTGTTCCACACTAATAATACTTTAAAATCTTAATATCTTTTCGCATTTAAGATACCTTTCGTTCATAATCCTGTGTATTATGAAAGATTAACAAGGCTAAAATGAGATTGCCAATTTGCTAGATATGGTATTAATACCGCGTACATGATGCATGACATTATCGCGACATCGCAAATAATTGAGTTTGAATTTCGCTTCGACACTGAAGTGGCAGAACCAGAATCAAGAGAACCAACGATGTTAACGGTCTACTTGACCTTGTTAGTAAAAATCACTTAGACAAACTGCCCCAGCAGCTTCCGCGGTCAGTTATCTCGTTTAGAGAAACACTGCAGGTGAGAGAGAAAGTGGCGTGTGGCCGGTAGGGGTTTGGCGGCAGTGATTCACGTAACACTTCAGGTCGGTGAACTATTGCGCGGCCGCGGTCGTAAAGCAGAACGAGCTTACTGCAGCTGTAAAGAAGAACGATTCTAATGGAGTGTTGGGCGCAGGGGCACATCGCCTTTACTTGTAGCATTGGTCGCTGTTCTCGTTAGAGGATTGATCAAAACCTTTTTTCTAGGATTAAGTTATTAAATGAAACTCTCTCTGCCAAATTACTTTGCTACAAAGAGGGTGTTTTGGGGCAAGTTTCAGAATAATACAATTGTGTACTTGTAAAAAGTATGAAAGTAGGATTAGAACATTCACAAAAAGAAACACGGCAAAATGAAAGATATCAAATAGCTGTCGAGGCCTTAATATAATACATTCGTAAGATTTTACAAGAATTTTATAAAACTAATGTTCAAATTGTTCTTGTTCGCATCTGAATGTTATCATCAGTATTGGAATAACAGCAAACAATTACAGTTTTGTTACTGCATCGTATCAGATTGCGTATTATTTGCACCATAGATTAGTGCTGCGTTAATCTAAAAATATTTGTAAAAGAAAATAACTTTATGGCAATATTTAAACGTAGAAGTCAATAAAATGAACAAAATCTTTAAAATGTCTTTCTAACTACAGTTTTTTGCGGATACATACATATTTGGAGATATTACCGCTATCTTGCACTTTGCCCTCCAAGGCCTGTCGTCACAGCTTGTAGAGTTCAAGTGGATACTTTACCATTCGTTACCAGCCATTCGGTTACGGTCACAGTGCTGACGAAAGATTGATATTTCGTTACCGAACGATCTGCGAACGAATATTCCGACTTTTTTCATCCGAATAAACACTCAAATGTTACACCCGAAATCGTTCGAATATTACCATAATTCCGCAGTTCATTGCAACACTAGCGGAACCTGGTAGACGTTGTTCTGCCCTTCATCTCCCTTTCTCCCTCTTCGTCTCTCCCTCTCTCTTCGTCTCCTTCTCCTCCACTTACCCCTCTCCCCATCTCTCACATCCCTCTTTCCTTGGCGGCAAAAATGTTTAAAATCATTGTATCCTGTAGATTACAGTGTGAGAAACGTTTCTTTGAGGCTTTTGGTCTCTGAATTGTAGTTTTTAATGCCCTAAAACTCTTCGTTTAGGAGTTATTTTACGATATAAATTCAACAAATCCTGTGGCTGGTTGCATTTGACAAGAATATTTAGTTTTCTTCTACAGCACCATCTAGTGATATTTCCGATATTTTAAGTTATTCTGCTATTCAGAGCGGAGAGTAATCTAACAAATCAAATATAATTAGTATTGGTCAAGCCGTTCTTGAGTTAGATATGCTGTAACGAACCAGACTTGTGAAGGCACACAAGAAAAGTGACACAAGTCTAAATACATAAATTTTCAGGAGAGCCATTTGAAGATTTGTTATTCTTAGGAGAGTGAGTTACATTGACCCTTACTCAAAGTTGATTATTCCTACAATCTAGAAAAACTTAATATATTACAAAATTTAGGAATCCGTGGACAATTGGATGTCAGGCTTTTTTAACCCCTTTAGAATCAACTCTTCTTCGACATATAACACTTTTCTAAAATAATATTGTCACAACTGGAGATAAGACGTACTTCTCGACACAGCTGCGATTTTACCTCTTCAGCTACATAACCTCAAATGAAATTTGACGTTATTCACGATATCTGCCAGACATGTTTCTTCCAATGACAAAACGACATAACCCCCATCTCGCGTTCAGTTTTATAGATAGAGTTATTACGTTTTCCAAGATAAATAATATATGATGAGAGGAACGTTTTCAACTTAACAGAAATTGCAATTGTGTTTACTTGTGTAACTTTTCTTGTGATCCATCGATATATAGATTTACATGATTCCCACACAATAACATTTACATTTATTGCAGTTACTCACGATATTATAGAAGGCCTTGAATCTCCAGCTGATTTCGGGAAAATGTAACCGTCAAAATCAAACGAAACAGATTTTCGTTCGACAGCCGATGTTTCCGGACACCGTTGGAAGAGGTCGTTCGGGTTCAGTATGCCCATTTCCATTTTCTTGCACGTGTTTGAACAACTTGAGTAAATCGAAGATCGTGCAGCAAACGTGCGAATCCCCAAGACCCAAAACAATAGCCAAACTGCGCATACCCGCATTCGCCAAACACGGAAACCGTTCGTCAAAAGGGAACGGGTAAATCCTGCCTAATTGAGAAAAAGCCGCTGTTGTGTGTGACTGACGTTGCACGCGCGTTCTGTTGCAGCGACCATCGCGTACCTGATCGGCGGCACCTTCCTGGGCTGGCCGTCACCTTCCATCCCGAAGCTGCTGGCCGCGGACTCCCACATCGCGCTGACCGCAGACGAGGGCTCGTGGGTGGCCGCGCTCGCCTCCTTCGGCATGCTGTTCGCGCCGCTGCCCACGGGCTACCTCGTCGACGTGCTGGGCCGCAAGCCTACCCTCGCCTTCACCGCGCTGCCCTTCCTCGCGTCGTGGCTCATGGTGACGTTTGCGCGGTCGGCGGCCGAGCTGTACGCGTCGCGCGTTCTGGCGGGCCTTGCGCTCGGGATGGCCTTCACCGTCGGCCCCGTTTACATGGGGGAGATCGCCGAAGACCGCGTGCGAGGCGCCGTGGGCACCGTGTTCCAAGTCATGATCAACCTCGGCACGCTGTTTGAGTACAGCGTGGGGCCGTACGTGTCGTATGCCCACCTCGGGATGGCGTCCATGGTGTTCCCGGTGCTGTTCCTGCTCAGCTTCGTCTGGATGCCGGAGACGCCTTATTTCCTGCTGACGAAGAATCGACGCGAGGCTGCGGAGAAGTCCTTGATGAGACTTCGCGGGAAGAAGACGCCGGAGAGTGTCAAAGAAGAACTCGATCTGATGCAGATGGCCGTAGAGATGCAAGCTAAAGAGAAAGGATCTTTCAGGGATCTGATTGGCTCTTGGGGCAACATGAAGGCTTTGATGATCGTTTTGGGTCTCATGGTTACGCAACACTTCAGCGGAATCATCCCAATGCTTTCATTCGTCACGATCATCTTTCTGAAGAGTGGCAGTTCCATCGATGCAAACATATCGGCAATTATATTCGGAGTGGTGCAGCTGGTGATTAGTATTGTGTCCTCTGGGCTGGTTGACAAAGCCGGACGCAGACCTCTACTGTTGGTGTCGGCAGTTGGATGCGCTATATCCCTTACTGTTGAAGGACTCTATTTTTATCTGGCGCAACATTATACCGAATACACTGCGTCCATTGACTGGTTACCAATAACCTGCCTTCTCGTCTACATCATTACGTACACTTTAGGATTGGGCCCACTGCCGTGGGCAATTGCTGGTGAAGTATTTCCAAATAATGTCAAAGGCGTGGCGGTGGCGGTAGTGTCCATGGTCAACGCTATTTGTGGATTTGTTGCCACGAAACTTTTTCAAGTTATTGGTGACCGCAAAGGTTCCTTTTTGGCATTCTGGATTTTTGCTGGCTGTTCCGTGGTGGGAACTGTATTCATCGCACTTTTTCTTCCCGAGACGAAGGGGAAATCTCTGCTGCAAATCACGGAAGAAATGAATGCAAGAGCACCCGTTCACTTAAATAAAAATAAGGCCGATGAAAATTCAAACGAAAAACAGGTCACTCGTTTTTAAACTATTATAAATGTATTCATCTGTGATTATCATTGTCTTCTGAGATAGACACCTTTTCAAGTCACTGCTTCTGCAATGTTTCATGCAAAGCCTGTTATGATTTTAGAAGATCAACTACATTTTAAGACGATAAACCTACCGATAATACTCACTTCGAATGTATGTGATGCATGCATGGATATTTAAAGTTGAACGTGAATGAGTTTTATTGTAAAATACAACTTTATATATTTTTAAGAAATAAAAAAAATGTTCTCATTTTCAAATACATAACGTTTCATCTTACTGAGGCTCCTTTTGTTTTTTCATTCGCTATATGGTAAGTCATAAACAGTTGATGAAGTTTTTCCAAACAACGTCAAAGATGTGACAGTGGCGCACAGTGGTTCATTTCCTGAATCTAGTGGTATTTAAATAAAAACTCAATAGTCTCGAAACAAATGAAACTGTTTGTGGACGGGTTCCTAACAGTCTAGCCAGGACTGTACCGTTCCCCATAAGTGCAACATTCATTTCTCAGAAGAAAGTGGTTGTGTTCAGCGAGCGCTGTCGAGCCACGCGCGCAGCTGTGCTCAAGTCTTTCTTTGACGCGCTTGGTGTTAATGCCCACTGCCACTGAACCGTTAAGAATAACTTTATTATTAGAAATGGACGTGAATTCGGGAGATATGTTCTTTAGCATAACACTAACGGTTAATATAAAATTTTACGATTTTGGTTGTATTTTATATGAGAAAGTATCACCATGTATTTGAGACAGGTTCCGTCGTGATCGGAAATTTAAACTGAGTTATTTTGAGTTGCCAGCAATTACCAAGAATGGTCTTTGCACTATTGTTTTCTCTAAACCTTCTGAAACAAAATGGTGGAAAACACTTTTGTCCGAAGTTGCCAAATCGATTTTTTTCAGATGCTTGTAAGTCACTCGACGGGAGCTATTCGAGCTTTTGCGTGAGGGTGAACTCTCTCATGCAATAGATTTACGCAATAGAAAAATGCTAATGTAGTATGTTTCCCGTAATGTTCTTGGAAGTATTCCAAAAGCAGTATTAAGTGAGAAGTCACGGAGATTAACCTGCCAAATTGTTGACAATTGGAAGGCTTCTAACAGTATGATAGATTCGCGGCAAGGAACCCAGCTTGACTGGGCGACGAAATGATATTTGTCAAGGAAGAGGCTCAGAAAACGACGAGAGATAGTCATGAAAAAGAATTATCTTCATATTCGAAGAGAACAAAAAGGCGAAAATTACAGCGAGATTTTACAGATAGAAATACACAAATTCGAATTTGTGAAGGTGACACCACATAGGACTAATGCAGAAATAGCTCGTTTAAAAGAAAACATTAGGATTATTTTTCTAATTTGACTAGTATTTTCTCTTCGAGCAATTCTTCCAGTTTTTTGGAATACACGCATTTGGCTTTTTAACCAAGTGTTTTCATAAACTATTTTGTTCCAAGATTTCAGAACGCGCTCAAGAGGTCTGATTATTCTCAAATACGAACCAATTTTTTCCTTGTTTCCTTACACAAATTTACTCTCGAGAGCAATAAATGTTCATCGTGTATGCCTCACATCTTTCGAGAACTTATCTTAAAAACCTTCAAATATATTTAAAGAAATCGCTCATATCTTTCGGCGTTCCGTAGGTCTTTTTAAGTTTTTACTTAATGAATCATTTATGAATAAACATTGGAGGTGCGTTGTCACAGAATTCGAATTAATATCAATTAAGACAAACAAACATATTTTTGATAGAAAAGATTTATTCAAAAAGAACGTACAAAACAAAACATAACAATTGAGACAACCAAACAAAAAGACTAAAGAATGACGTAGATGAACTGGACTACTCTAACTGAACTGCCTGCGGAATCTCGTTAGTGGCCCTTGCTGTTGATGACGACGGCCTGGAAGCCTCCGTGCTTGTCGGCAACGTACTTGACGGTGCGAATGTTGCCGTCAGGCTCCTTCAGGGAGTACTCGCCCTCCACCCTGTCCCCATCGCGGACCTCCTTCTGCTGCTTGAAGTCGCCGGTGTGGTGGTCCTCTACGCCGTACGAGAACTCAGCCTTGGGGTACGCCTGAAAGACACGAAATGTTTCATTTTCTCTCGAGTGTTTGGTCTTTAGAGAGATGTATAAATTAAATGAAAAAATAAAGATATTTTGTATAAATGGAAAAACTAAAAGAAGTTGTGAAATGAATTTAGAAATTACTGTGCTTCTACGACTATTGATTTTGCGAACTGAAGAAATTGATTCTAATTTTAAATATTTCAGACAAGATTACCTGGTTACATTTCTCACAAAACATTCAGTCTTTAATATTTAACACATTCCTTACACGACATACCTGATTAATTTTTTCTTTTTTTAATTAATTTTTTTAATGGTTCAAATTCATATTTTTTTGATGATAATGACAAAGCTGGCAACACTAGCTTAGTTAAGTGAAAACACGTCTATTCATACTACTAGAAACCAGTGATTACGATGAATTTTCATCTTCGCTTACCGCGTAGTTGACGTATTCGAGATGTTTGCCATGGCCATCGCTGGACGACCCGCGCACTTCGGTCAAGGGACCCTCCACTGGGCCATGGAAGACGGCGTAGGACTTGCCTCCCTGAGAGTAACCTCCGCCCAGACCGCTGCCACCGCTGTAGCCTCCGTATTGGCCGCTCGACGTGTGGACGATCGCGGCCAAGGCCAGCGCCACGAGGATAACCTACGAGTTTCATTCTCACATCACAAATCTATCAATTTTCGAAGCAAAATACATGAGCTACCACGTAATCTCCTTTTGTTACTCAATGCAAATAAGATTGACAATATTTTTATTTACAATATCGATAAAAATAATACAGCTTCTGTATAATACATAATTGATATGTTGTATCAAGCAAAAACTAAACATTAATGTGCATTACAGTGTGGGTACATAAATTACTGATGAAAAATTTTAGAATCATATTATATTAAAAAAATAAATGCATGTTTCGCAGAAATGAAAATATATTACCTTTTTCAAACACGTCCTTTTGCAAATGATAAATTTTCAACTGAAATTTTTTTGAAATCCAAAAAAGTTGTATTTTTAATCACAATTAATGTTTGTAAACTACTTACTGTTTCACAAATTACTCATATATTCTGAACGATATTTACAAGCTTTTATTGTATTGGAAGTAATCGTAGGTAGAAGATCATGATTTTCGGTTTGATATTTTAATAAATAATATAATTAATATGTATGATTTCATTATTGCATCACTCAATTTTTACTGAAGTAGGCGCCAAATATTATTATTTAAATATTTTTCCAGTTTCTATAAACTTTTATTAGAATAATTATTGAACTGACGGAGGCTGAGGACTTTTCTATATGTCATGCACACGAACATTCTAGAGACTACATAGTTTTATGTTGTTTTTGAGTTACAAGAAACTGTATATTAAAAACAGTAATTCTGATAAATTAGCGACAAAATGACTCGTGATTAATATACCAAACAAAAATTATGAAAAAATTAGTTTTTGAAGTTCTAAAATGTATTTACTACATTAATGTTCACGCCGATCAAATACGAAATAAAAATATTAGAGAGAAACGAGAAGAATCTCCAATAGAAAAAGAAAGAATAAAAATGTACTGGCATAAATATTGTATATAATGAATATACCCTAAAACGTATCTCTAATGCAATGTTTGAAATGAAACCAAGAGAGAAACATTTAAAGGCTGAATGAACCCGTAATGAAGATGTCTAATGCCGTGTACTTAATCGAAAGATGAACAAATATCAATGTTTGAGATAGTTATTATAATGCTACTCCATTCGTTCTTGCTCTTAATATTAGAACTAATGTTTATGCTTTATTTATATGATCGATACTCGTGAAAGTGCACTGCGAATTTTCAAACCTCTTTTGGAGCATGAAGACAATTTTTTTAGAGATTTGGAAAGAAATAGTACTATTAATAGTAGTAATTTATTACCTCGGTATCAATCCATTGAAACTATATTAATAACATTAAAACATAACTATAGTATAAATGTTAACTTAAATCGAAGTTTATTTTCAACATTGTCTTTGTAAAATACATTCTATTTCAATATTTCTAAAAATCTAGAACATTTTTAGTGACAGATAATGACTGAACTGTAATTTCTTTATACTGACGACTGCATTAAACGCTGATGGTTAATATGCTACTTAAATGAAATAGTTATTAAATAATATATTTAATAAACCATTATAAAAGTAATTTTATCAAAATAAAATATAATGCAGCACAGACCTAAAAGTGTACGCAGTTTAGAACAAATATTGTAAACACTAATTTTTATTGTCAAATAGTTCATCAAATTTGAATGAATACACGAATTTAAGAACCGAAATATCATCTACCTACAAAGTTTTTCAAACTATCAATTTCCCGTTATAAATACAATGTATTTTATTTCCGATCGTTTGAGTTTGTTATGACAGCTGAGCAATTTCATTTTCTAATATACTTTTCTGGTTCATTATGTTATCGTTAGCCCTTAAAAAAACTCTCATTTCATTTTATCACCCAAAATCTAAAAAGTCCGTAAAAGACAACGTTTGAAGTAAGACGAAAATGCCAATTCTTGGAAAATGTTTGTCTTACCTGAGTTTTTATCATCCTGCCTTGGTATCTGGCTGTGCTTCACTGCTCTCGAAGTGGTTCTTGAGCTGCTGTAGCTTGAACTGATGCCGTTGTTCAGCCTCCGAGGCCTTAAATATCCATCGAGGTGGTTGGGCGAAATTCGGAAGAAACGACTAACCTACATTTGGTGCCGTAACCAACTGGACCTGCTCTGCGACGCGGACGGGCCACACGTAACGCCCTGAACCTGTGGCTCTAGTGTTGGCTGAAGGCCAGTTGCAGCCTAGTGAAGCATGTTCCCTTTCGTTCGGCCGGCTAACAGACGGCACTACCGGGTATGTCGGCCATTGGCATTTCCGTACCTTTCTCTCGAAAATATTCGTGGTTCTTATAACGAGAAATTCCTGTCATTAATCTATAAACGTGTTTGTTGGAGACATGTTTCAAACGCGTTTACAAAACCTGAAACTGTATTTCAAAATTTGGATTTAGAAAATGCAAAGTGTTTATTTAATATCCATATAAAAAATAGAATTGAGTGAGAGAAGCCATGGAAGAAATGGATTCGATAGATGATTTAGAAAGGTGATAAAGTTGATCTACACGTCTAAAGTGGAAATCACAGTTCCTAACACTTCTAATGAAGTATGAGAGTTACAAACGAATTGGAATGAAGGGGGATCGAATTGGGTCTCTCATTTCTCTCTTAATAATGTTATCTTCGTGAAATATTCGTTGCGATAACCACTCATTGCCTCTGGCTACGATAACATCCAACATCACATTACCAGCATTTACAATAGTTGTGAATCTTTACCGTGGGGGCAGGGGAAAAGAGTCTGTAACCATGCCCTCTTCCCAAGTCTACATTTTTGTAGCTTTACTCAATTTACACAGAGCCGAGCAGCTTAGTTCTCTGGTCTGCGTGCTTGATTTCCATGACCCGAGCCCTGGTTTGGTTCCCGGTCAGGCAAGATTATATTGTGCATTTTCTTTTCAATGTACATGTTGTTGTGTGACGATGAGAAAATTCACTTCTCATGTTGAGAAGACCATAATTCGGTGTGGCGTGCCAACCACGCTTATCCGCTTAACCCATGGACGCGAAACCGGGACGTCGCTGATAGGCCGTGGCACGTTCACAGGCGGACGAGCCAAGAGCAAACAAACTTAATTTACTCAAAACGCATTGATCGCACCGCATTCAAATGATAATATGTCATTAAAAATATACATTTTTAGTTCAAGGTAATGAGTATTGTTTTGTAAATTCAAAAATGTTTGTGTATGGTACTACTTATGTCTTATCTTTTAAAGGTACTCTTTAGAGCATAAAGTCACGTAAACTGAGAGTATCAAAGAAAATACTATGTGCGGATTCAGAAAGTATTGCAGGAGTGTGGAGCAATTTCGCTTCACACTCCTGGAATATTTTCTGAATCCGCACATAGTATTTTACGTAAGGTAATTTAAGTAAGATAAGACATAAGGAGTGGATATGATCTCAGAAAGAAGTTTACCATAATACTTTCAAGACAACACACTGTCGGAATGTGAGAATAGAATATCTTGTAATAGTAAATGGTATAGTATATTTTATGTACGTAAATTACCGATGTCTTCCTTTTATTAATAATACCTTTCTATATAGATAAATCGATTATACGAGTATTATATTATAGTATATACGATTTCTCTTTGATGATAAAATACAGTAATCTATGATCTTCCATGTATATAATATTGTTAAGTATCTCTTTTCTACTCACCTTTGTCAATTTCAATATATTGTCATATTTACTCATTTTAAGATTATTTTTATATAAAAATCTTTAATATCATTAAAAACATCTCATTCTGTAAAGTCCTCTACTGTTGTAGAAACGACATAAAAATTGTTAAAAGCAACTTTTTTCTCCTTGAAAGACGAATGGTCATAGATAAAGAAATAATTAATAAAAGTATTCAGAATATAAGAACAACTGTTGAACAACAGAAATAGCAATGTTCATTTAAACTGGAGGAGTATGTAAAGAATTGCTGTCAATTACTACCATATAGTATTAAGGACACTCTAAAACGAGTTTTAGAAACGTTAGATAAAATTATGTTATGTACGGCAAGATCTGGTCACATATAATTAGTTATAATGAGTATAAATACTAGTGGAAAATTTATCAATTTGTTTGAAAATAAACTGAGATATTTTTTTATTTTAACAAATTATTCCTTCTCTAACGATGTTACTAAATAGTACGTGAAAGTTATTCAACCAATTAATGTGCATCTCAAGTGTTTTTCTTCAAGTTCCAACGTGTCTGTCTAAAGATAATATTGATGAGATTAGATCACTATACTCGCCATGTCATATCGTGGTTGCATTTTTTAGTATTTTAAGTTCATTTATCATAATCGTCAATAATTGATCCAATTATTGGAGTTATATTAGTAGGAGTGGAGTATAGGAGAACAAATAAACTGCTATGGATGATATTATGCACGTACTAGATTCAGACGTTAAGGTTTTGCAATATTTGGTTAGACATCTCCAAACCAGTTTCATTTTCTCTCTAAAATAAACTGAGGCAAACAGCATCATGATCAGGTATTTGATATAACAAAAGAGTGGGGATGAGTCCGAAAGAACGAAACGCCCGCCCTTTCATTACCTGGAAGGTCTACCACGCGCGAGAACACCACTTAACAGAAGTGCGTCATGAATGTGGCCTGCCAGCACGCATTAGGACACACTTTATTCTGTCCTGTTTCCGTCCTATTTTAGATCAGAAGAATAACATCGTTTTGCCTTAGGACTGTTGTGGCATCAAAAATGGATGTAGTAGTCCCAAAGTTTTACACAGTCATTACGTTACCTGCACATATTCATGATCTATTCCTGGTTCGTATGTTTCCTACGGACGTCGCAAAAAGCGCTGACACTCTTAGCATCACGTCTAACTTATAAATGAAGTTAGAAACAGAGTTCAAAACGAGTCGTCATAATAATACAGGGCATGTAATAAATGTTTTACTTCTCATCAGACAAATCGCTTCAGAACAGAGTACAACACATTCGAACGCTCGCAAAATTGCAAAATAAACTAATCGCACCTCACGCATTGCCACCGAAAAAGTCAGGGAAGTAGCACATGGGACGCGGTAGTCAACCTATCTTAATGGGACGCGGTAGTCAATCTGTAGAAAACAATGACATATGCTTCATTTTCCTGTGCAGATGATATCCACGACGAAACTGACTCTAGAGTAATAGGCTATTCAGCTCAGTAATTGGATGTAAGGTTATGATCCATATTTTTACTTGGTTCATTTTTCCTCGTGTTGAAGTGGGAAAACGGGTTCTTGGCAAACCAGTCCGCTGCCCGAGGTGTGTGCATGGCACTAGTCCGGATATTTAGATATCACTCTTTACGCAAGATTACAGCAGGAGACTAAAAAACGTTTCGTTCTGCCAAGCAAACCAAACGGTTTTAAGTCTGTCTCCCAGTACAAAAAAGTGTTCTGTGAGTTCTTAAACCACAAGTAACGTTATGAACACGCAAATAGCAAGTTGCGACGACACTACACCTTAAAAGAGACTATCAATGCTTAAATAGCTTCTTATTGACAGTACGTTGCAAATCATCTTCCATACAAATTTTAATCTGAGCTGAAAAGAAGAAACGGGAACCAATGTTAAAGAGTAGTTCGTCCACATTACAGATGTTTTGACAGCGAAAGCAGTAGGGCAACTTTCTTTGCGTTTCGCTCTTGACAAGGCAGGATAAGCCGAGGTGGGGAAGATTTTTAGGGAACTACAAATTATAATGGACTTAGTGGTAAATATTGGATGAATACCATCCAACATATCCGAACTTCATTTTTTACTAAGTTGATCGAGAACGGAAACTGATGAATAAAGTACGTGAAGAAGGATTCAAAGACAGGGGATTCGAAACGTTGTAGTAAGAAAATTAAAGAACAAACTGTTTGTAAATTGGTTCAAAAGGTTAATTACTAAACACAAACACAAACCAATTTAGAAATTACTTAAAACAATGTGGCAATCACATAAGTTTATTTAACACATGAATTAAATTAATAGTGATAGATGTTTATTCTCTCAAAATTTAAATTGACTTTTATTTGCATTTCGCTGAACTATAATGGCAAATTGATGAAATGAAAGATGCTGAGAATAATGTAGTTTATTTTGAAAGTTTTATCTTGGCAAACTGACAAAACATACAATATTGTATCCAAATAATAATCTAATACTTGTTTATACTTATCTCTTGACGACAAGAATAAGAGAAACAAGTAATGCGTTAAGTTGGAATTTATGGAGTTTAATGTTTGAAAGCCATGTCGGTAGAAAATGAAAAAAAGAAGAATTTCTGTAACTGCTGCGGATATAGAATATTATTAACAGTTACTGCGACAGGTAAGTCTCATTGATTAATAATGAATACCAAGACCTTTGTGACTGAAACAACATCATTACTAATAGATGTTTGGTATTTAATGACAGAACAACAATGGCTCCTGAGATGATTCTCACCTCATCAGTCACTCAAATTATCTTAAAGAAATATTCATGTAAAAATTATTTCCTTCTTTTATTACTCGACCACTGACATTATCCTGAGTACTTGAGGACATGAAATTTTGTGTCAATTTACGAAAAAAAAACAATTTTTCCTGAAAAGAATTTATTTCAGATGATGCCAAAAAACGTTGGACTTTTTTATTTGGAAACTTTTCCAAATATACATAATATTTTCCACCATATTTTTTGTCCTTTTTGTAAGATTATTAGCTTTATTAGCTCATTAGCGATTCACGTTTATTGTCCATTCATTGGACTGAAACCTCACTCAGTGCAGAGCAATGTTGAGAGGGCGAACGTTCTGTACAAGTAATAAGTAATTGGATTTTTTTCTGAAACGCCCTTATTGATAGAAGTATGTACATTTAACACCTTCAATATAATCGCCTCCGTTATTAATGACCTTTTGTCAAATGTTAGGAAGTCGTCG